ATTAGTACGTCATCGATGTACCTTTTCCAGCATGCTATTGACTCTGAGTATTTCCGTAAGTGTGGTGCCTTTAGGATTTTATTCTCCCAAGTTCCTAAATAAAGGTTCGCATAAGAAGGGGCACAAGGAGTCCCCATAGCTGTCCCTTTTATTTGTTGGTAAATGTTACCATTAAATAGGAAAATGTTTTTAGTCAGTACCGTTCTGAGTACATCTGAGACGAAATCAATGTAGAGATATGGGGACTGAAGCTCTTGTTCTAAGATGGTTTTGACGTTATCAATACCCTTCATATGTGGTATAGAGCTATACAAAGATTCCACATCCAGGCTGCATAGCAAAGCTTGCTCTGGTATGGATAAGTCCTTCAAAAAGTTTAACATCTGCTTAGTGTCCCTTATATGAGAGGCTAATTTTGACACAATAGGGGACAAGATTTTGTCTAAGTATATACTCAAATTCTGAGTCAAGTTGCCACATCCCGACACAATTGGTCTACCTGAAGGATTATCAAGAGATTTATGCACTTTAGGTAGACTATAAAATGTTGAAAGTACTGGTTGTTTAACCAGCATAAAATCAAACTCATTTTTAGTAATGAGTTTGTCTATTAAAGCTTGGTTCAGCAAAGTTTTAATTTCAGCAGAATATTGTGGGGTGGGATCGTGACTGAGAATCTGATAGGTTTCCCTATCGTCCAGTAGGCGCTGTGCCATTTGGATGTAGTTAGACCGATCCATAAGCACTATATTCCCACCCTTGTCGGATGGTTTAATTACCAGATCATCATTCTCGTTAAGTTGTTTTAATGCCAATTTTTCCATTCTAGTAAGATTACCACAGATTTTAATGTTCTGATCTCCCAAGTCTGCCTTTTCAATATCTCTACAGACCATCTCCAAAAAGACTTCAATATTTTTGTAGTCTTTCAAATGGGGGGTAAATCGGCTCTTAGGTGCAAGGTGTGTGGTCGGGATGTTGTCTATAGGGTCATTAGAGTCAAGTAGTTCGATCAAAGTATCTAAGCAATCCATGTCTGTAACTGTAAGTCCTAGGCTTAATGCTTTCACTTCTTTTTTATGTGTATGATACTTATGTAGAGCTAACTTTCGGGCGAACAAATGCAGGTCTTTCGTCCACATGAATTTATTAAAAAGGGGGGTAGGTACAAAGGATAAACCTTTGGAGAGTGTTTTAGTTTGTATATCTGTTAGAGTAAGTGAGGATAAATTTATAACCCTTAAATCACCAGCTACTAACGTCGATATTGTCTCTGACCCCTGCCTCTCTGTGATTGTCTCGTTCTGGGACGTTGTAGTTCGTCCGCCTGTCTCAATCCTAAAAAATCAACCCCTTTCCTTAGTATACTTTTGGGTGCTACTGGTACAGAGCTACTAGTTACACTTTCCCCTTCATTGTCTGTTGACTCATATTCTGATGTACTAAAATGGTCAGAGTCAATTCTAGTTCTCCTTTTCGTTTGACGATAGACTTTACCTGTCTCAAAATCTGAGGTATCTCTTACAAATTTATGATGTTTTTTAATTTTTATTTGATAAGAGAACTTATCCAAGTTAGATTTAAGCTTTACTTCCAAATTTTGAAACTGGGGTTCATCTTTAAACTTTTGGATATTCTCAATCTCATCATCCAGATTTTTTTGAATTTTAGCTAGATGTAACGCCTCATATTTACATATAATCGACATAAAAGTGGTTGAACATTTAGCTGCTGCATCCTCCCATTCTTGGTTAAAGCCTTCTATTTCGATATTCCTAGACGGTGGGACAAGGACCCTCAATCCTCTAGGTATGATCTTTTTGGCAATATATGTCTCTAGGGTTGAGATTTCCCAGCTTGTTTTAATTTGCTGTTTAAAAGCCTTTGTTAATTTATTGAAGCCACTTTGTATGTCTACTGGAGGAAGCGTTTTAGGTGGAGAATTAGTAGAGAAAATGGCATCAGCATCTGAGCACCATTGTTTATGATCTACTTTATTAGTGAGGAATCCCGCCATAATCTTGAATGGGGCTAATTGATTAATACGCTAAAAAATACTCTCTATGAAAAAGATGTAAAGGGCTAGAAGTGGTGCATAACACCTGTATAGATAAAAGTAAATAATTGTGTGGAAAAAGCCCTGATAACTCTTCCCTGCTGGGGAATAACCCACAAATTGTAAAATAGAAAAAATAGTGTGGAACCAAAGGTCCCTAAGTGGAAGAGTTATAAATGAAAGGGGAGTCCCTACCTTTAATGATCCTAAGGGTGTAGGCAATTAAAATAGACAGGGAGGAAAGATAGGGCAAAGGGAATAGATGTGTAAAAACACATACAGGTCCAAAACAACTACTTACAGAGAAATAGCCCAAATCTAATAAAGTAGGGTCAAAAATGCTCCAAACTGTAAGGTTGTCAAAAGATAGGTAAATAGAGGAATAACAAAGGAAGGAAAAAGGGGGAAAAGGGAGGGGGAGGAACACTTCCTAACTGAATACCTCGGCACAGTGAAAATCACAAGTGCCTACCTATTAACCTTCTGCCTACCTGGCTAAAGTAGCTAAAAATCGAATTAACTAAATAAACTAATCCATAAGTGCTACCCAAGTGAACAAACTGTAAAAAAAATAAATAAATAAAAACTCGACGCGCGTTTCAGCGTTCTAACACGCCGTCGTCAGGAGTAGTAAGCCTCTGCATAACTTTGTGCTCGTTTATATTGGGATTGTAGCAATCAACTTGAAACAGTTCACCTGTTGTGTGTCCGCCGCATCTACACGCCCCGCCATCTTGTCGGCCCATTGATTGGTCAAGAAAATGCCGTATTTGGATTGGAGTATCACATGGGTCATGTGACTGGGGGGTGTTGCGGTTAATTGGGTGATACCCACATGGGTGCGAACGGCTGCATATGGAGGGAGTGGCTTAGTCGTGTCAACTAGTGACACGGCTGTCTTTCATAGTGAGACCTCCCATGTTCCGTGCGGTCTAATTTAAGCATTCATAATCCCATAACGGGAGAATGTTGCCGCATAGACAGGGAGTCACAAAGTGACACAGCCACCCAAACTTAGTGCGTCGAAACTGATGACCAATCTCACAGTATCCTGGCAATACCATAATTAAGATGCCGTTAAAAAGATTTTAAACGATGCACCCATTATTAAAGGAATATTACACAGGCCATGATCATATGACAGGTATTTGGTTGCACCCAAACAGAAACGAAGAAAATATAGAGGGAAAACTTGGTGGTGGGAATGTAATAGAGCCTACTGTAAATATAAAGAAACACAGCTTTATTGGTCTCTCCACCCTACAGAGTAATAGGTAACAACCTTATAACTGTCTGAAAAGGTGGATACAAGAGACTATCAGATTTATGATTCCCTATATTGCATCCCACTGAACAAAGTCCTCATGTAAGAAGACAATGGGTATAATATATATAATATATATAATCAGATGTTCGATTTTTAGCTACTTTAGCCAGGTAGGCAGAAGGTTAATAGGTAGGCACTTGTGATTTTCACTGTGCCGAGGTATTCAGTTAGGAAGTGTTCCTCCCCCTCCCTTTTCCCCCTTTTTCCTTCCTTTGTTATTCCTCTATTTACCTATCTTTTGACAACCTTACAGTTTGGAGCATTTTTGACCCTACTTTATTAGATTTGGGCTATTTCTCTGTAAGTAGTTGTTTTGGACCTGTATGTGTTTTTACACATCTATTCCCTTTGCCCTATCTTTCCTCCCTGTCTATTTTAATTGCCTACACCCTTAGGATCATTAAAGGTAGGGACTCCCCTTTCATTTATAACTCTTCCACTTAGGGACCTTTGGTTCCACACAATTTTTTCTATTTTACAATTTGTGGGTTATTCCCCAGCAGGGAAGAGTTATCAGGGCTTTTTCCACACAATTACTTACTTTTATCTATACAGGTGTTATGCACCACTTCTAGCCCTTTACATCTTTTTCATAGAGAGTATTTTTTAGCGTATTAATCAATTAGCCCCATTCAAGATTATGGCGGGATTCCTCACTAATAAAGTAGATCATAAACAATGGTGCTCAGATGCTGATGCCATTTTCTCTACTAATTCTCCACCTAAAACGCTTCCTCCAGTAGACATACAAAGTGGCTTCAATAAATTAACAAAGGCTTTTAAACAGCAAATTAAAACAAGCTGGGAAATCTCAACCCTAGAGACATATATTGCCAAAAAGATCATACCTAGAGGATTGAGGGTCCTTGTCCCACCGTCTAGGAATATCGAAATAGAAGGCTTTAACCAAGAATGGGAGGATGCAGCAGCTAAATGTTCAACCACTTTTATGTCGATTATATGTAAATATGAGGCGTTACATCTAGCTAAAATTCAAAAAAATCTGGATGATGAGAATATCCAAAAGTTTAAAGATGAACCCCAGTTTCAAAATTTGGAAGTAAAGCTTAAATCTAACTTGGATAAGTTCTCTTATCAAATAAAAATTAAAAAACATCATAAATTTGTAAGAGATACCTCAGATTTTGAGACAGGTAAAGTCTATCGTCAAACGAAAAGGAGAACTAGAATTGACTCTGACCATTTTAGTACATCAGAATATGAGTCAACAGACAATGAAGGGGAAAGTGTAACTAGTAGCTCTGTACCAGTAGCACCCAAAAGTATACTAAGGAAAGGGGTTGATTTTTTAGGATTGAGACAGGCGGACGAACTACAACGTCCCAGAACGAGACAATCACAGAGAGGCAGGGGTCAGAGACAATATCGACGTTAGTAGCTGGTGATTTAAGGGTTATAAATTTATCCTCACTTACTCTAACAGATATACAAACTAAAACACTCTCCAAAGGTTTATCCTTTGTACCTACCCCTCTTTTTAATAAATTCATGTGGACGAAAGACCTGCATTTGTTCGCCCGAAAGTTAGCTCTACATAAGTATCATACACATAAAAAAGAAGTGAAAGCATTAAGCCTAGGACTTACAGTTACAGACATGGATTGCTTAGATACTTTGATCGAACTACTTGACTCTAATGACCCTATAGACAACATCCCGACCACACACCTTGCACCTAAGAGCCGATTTACCCCCCATTTGAAAGACTACAAAAATATTGAAGTCTTTTTGGAGATGGTCTGTAGAGATATTGAAAAGGCAGACTTGGGAGATCAGAACATTAAAATCTGTGGTAATCTTACTAGAATGGAAAAATTGGCATTAAAACAACTTAACGAGAATGATGATCTGGTAATTAAACCATCCGACAAGGGTGGGAATATAGTGCTTATGGATCGGTCTAACTACATCCAAATGGCACAGCGCCTACTGGACGATAGGGAAACCTATCAGATTCTCAGTCACGATCCCACCCCACAATATTCTGCTGAAATTAAAACTTTGCTGAACCAAGCTTTAATAGACAAACTCATTACTAAAAATGAGTTTGATTTTATGCTGGTTAAACAACCAGTACTTTCAACATTTTATAGTCTACCTAAAGTGCATAAATCTCTTGATAATCCTTCAGGTAGACCAATTGTGTCGGGATGTGGCAACTTGACTCAGAATTTGAGTATATACTTAGACAAAATCTTGTCCCCTATTGTGTCAAAATTACCCTCTCATATAAGGGACACTAAGCAGATGTTAAACTTTTTGAAGGACTTATCCATACCAGAGCAAGCTTTGCTATGGAGCCTGGATGTGGAATCTTTGTATAGCTCTATACCACAAATGAAGGGTATTGATAACGTCAAAACCATCTTAGAACAAGAGCTTCAGTCCCCATATCTCTACATTGATTTCGTCTCAGATGTACTCAGAACGGTACTGACTAAAAACATTTTCCTATTTAATGGTAACATTTACCAACAAATAAAAGGGACAGCTATGGGGACTCCTTGTGCCCCTTCTTATGCGAACCTTTATTTAGGAATTTGGGAGAATAAAATCCTAAAGGCACCACACTTACGGAAATACTCAGAGTCAATAGCATGCTGGAAAAGGTACATCGATGACGTACTAATTGTATGGACGGGGTCTATTAAGGATTTTGAGGAATTTGTCAAAATCCTGAACAAAAATGATTTTGATTTGAGATTTACTAGTGAGCTAGGTGGTAACCAAATTAACTTCCTAGACATTACCATCACAATAAAGGAAGGGGGACTGGTACAAACAACCCTGTTCAAGAAACATACGGCTACGAATAGTCTCTTGAACTGGACTAGTTATCACCCACAACCACTCAAGGCTGGCATTCCAATCGGCCAGTACCTCCGACTAAGACGCAATTGCTGGTCCACACAGGACTTTAAGACCAAAGCCTGGGAATTAAGGAAAGCCTTCAAGGATAAGGGATATCCGAATAGGGTCCTACGGAGGGCATACGCTAGAGCCATCAAAACCGACCGAGACACACTTCTCATTGATGAGAATGCACAATCAGAAGATAAAAAACTGATTAGATGCATTGCCACATATGATGCGGGGTGGGACTATATGATGGACACACTTAGGCGTTACTGGCCGATCCTTAAGTCCGACCCACATTTGAAACATGTAATTACTTCTTTCCCCTCAGTTACGGCAAGGAGGGGGAGTAATTTTCGAGATACCCTGGTACAGAGTCACTTGGCACCCCGGAAAAAGGGCCTTAATAATTACCTACCGAAGGGTTCATACAAATGTGGACATTGCAGCGCATGTGAATTTATGGAAAGGAACTCCAAAGAATTCACTGATAGTAATAATACAGATGCCTTCCCTGTTCGATCATTTTTTAATTGCAGAACAGAGGGTGTGATTTATTTACTCATCTGCTCATGCGGTATAAAATATGTGGGGAAAACATTTAGACCTTTTAAACTACGGATCAGGGAACACGTTAATTCAGTTAGGAGACCTCTTGAAACTCCCATATCCCGTCATTTAAAAAAATACCATTCAAACTCCTCTAAAAAATTGAGGTTCATGGGAATTGAGCATATTCCACAGACTCAAAGGTAAGGAGATTGGGATATGAAACTGAGACAACGTGAGTCCTATTGGATCTATAGATTGAAGACCCTCTCACCCGCTGGACTGAATGAGGGTTTTTCATTTACTGCTTTTTTATGATTACTCTCTTTTTTAGATGTAATTTATAATTAGGGACATCCCTATCAAGTCCTGAGTATATAATAAGTAGGCTGAACATCTGATTATATATATTATACCCATTGTCTTCTTACATGAGGACTTTGTTCAGTGGGATGCAATATAGGGAATCATAAATCTGATAGTCTCTTGTATCCACCTTTTCAGACAGTTATAAGGTTGTTACCTATTACTCTGTAGGGTGGAGAGACCAATAAAGCTGTGTTTCTTTATATTTACAGTAGGCTCTATTACATTCCCACCACCAAGTTTTCCCTCTATATTTTCTTCGTTTCTGTTTGGGTGCAACCAAATACCTGTCATATGATCATGGCCTGTGTAATATTCCTTTAATAATGGGTGCATCGTTTAAAATCTTTTTAACGGCATCTTAATTATGGTATTGCCAGGATACTGTGAGATTGGTCATCAGTTTCGACGCACTAAGTTTGGGTGGCTGTGTCACTTTGTGACTCCCTGTCTATGCGGCAACATTCTCCCGTTATGGGATTATGAATGCTTAAATTAGACCGCACGGAACATGGGAGGTCTCACTATGAAAGACAGCCGTGTCACTAGTTGACACGACTAAGCCACTCCCTCCATATGCAGCCGTTCGCACCCACGTGGGTATCACCCAATTAACCGCAACACCCCCCAGTCACATGACCCATGTGATACTCCAATCCAAATACGGCATTTTCTTGACCAATCAATGGGCCGACAAGACGGCGGGGCGTGTAGATGCGGCGGACACACAACAGTTGAACTGTTTCAAGTTGATTGCTACAATCCCAATATAAACGAGCACAAAGTTATGCAGAGGCTTACTACTCCTGACGACGGCGTGTTAGAACGCTGAAACGCGAGTCGAGTTTTTATTTATTTATTTTTTTTACAGTTTGTTCACTTGGGTAGCATTTATGGATTAGTTTATTTAGTTAATTCGATTTTTAGCTACTTTAGCCAGGTAGGCAGAAGGTTAATAGGTAGGCACTTGTGATTTTCACTGTGCCGAGGTATTCAGTTAGGAAGTGTTCCTCCCCCTCCCTTTTCCCCCTTTTTCCTTCCTTTGTTATTCCTCTATTTACCTATCTTTTGACAACCTTACAGTTTGGAGCATTTTTGACCCTACTTTATTAGATTTGGGCTATTTCTCTGTAAGTAGTTGTTTTGGACCTGTATGTGTTTTTACACATCTATTCCCTTTGCCCTATCTTTCCTCCCTGTCTATTTTAATTGCCTACACCCTTAGGATCATTAAAGGTAGGGACTCCCCTTTCATTTATAACTCTTCCACTTAGGGACCTTTGGTTCCACACTATTTTTTCTATTTTACAATTTGTGGGTTATTCCCCAGCAGGGAAGAGTTATCAGGGCTTTTTCCACACAATTATTTACTTTTAACAGTGGAAAACAACAACAGAGGAGGGCATAGGATTATGGCATGATTATCTACTAAATTGTGACCAATTACTGTGTTGGATGTCCAAATATAGATTTGGACTATTACTGTGTTGGATGTCCAAATATAGAGATAATATATATGGCTCCAACTCTATCCAGCTGAATCTAAAACATGCAAACATATATACAATTAAACCACCGGTGAGCCATCTCTTATGTATAACATAACTTAAATGCTCCAAGGTAAAAGAAATAGTATACAAACTAACTGCAATGCCAAACTACGTCCATAGGGTGATTCTGCTAAACCATTAGAATTACATGCAACAAACACATTCACATAACTATCTGACATTCATCTATATTAAGAGAACAAATGTGCAAGGCAACCGGGAAGATTTGCACAAAGGAAAAACTTGTTCACATGAGTTAGAAATACGTTTAGAATTGTATGCAAAAAAGGAACTAAACGGGGAACTGTTTGTGCTGGTAGAGAAACGGCCCCACAAAGTACGGTATGTGAGCATGACTACATGTGCAAATTATGTCCATACGGGCAAGTATGCAAACAATAAGTAAAGCGCATAGACCAAAACCGAGATGACGTCATGAACACACCACAGTGGTGCAACGGTTTGGGTCTCGACTTACTGATCAGAGAGGCCTTCCAAGTCAATCTCCTAGGAGCAGGAGTAGGAAGCGGGCTGGAGGTGAAATACAGCAGTCGATAAGTGGTGAAGAAAATGGACAGCAAGCCAGGAAACAGGAACACAAGGATACAGGTAAGCTTGCAAAATGGCGACGTGTAAGTGACCGGAAATAGTCACAACTCAAGTCGCCAGACCAATAAAGATATGTGAGGGAGAATTGGAGGCCCTTCTAATTTATATATTTATATATATTTGTTGTTAAACGTAAGTAACTAATATGGGATTGCAGTTAGAGATTTATTTTCCCTTAGAGTATGGTCTATATTCATGCCATGTTTGAAACTTGGGAAGGAAGTAATACTAGTTTTAGATGGTACTGAAGGGTAGCAAAAGCATATGGGCTATGTGGTTTCAGGTGCCCTTTTCATAAGGAAACCATCTAGGGAGTTTTGCGGCACTCCAAAAACAAAGCATTGGGAGGTAATTGCACATGCACAGCAAAGCACCGCAATGCACCAATCAGCATCTCCTCAGAGCGGGAATCATTAGACTAGGAGCACCTCTAGTGGCCGTCTGAGTGGCTGCCACTAGAGATGTTCCTAGGCAGCAAAGTAAATACTGCCTTTTCTCTGAATAGACAGTATCAACAGTGCTAAGACTGTAGGAGTGACATGCTATTGACACCAGAACCACTACATTAAGCTTACAACGCAGGCAGTCACACTGTAGCCAGATCAGCCCTCTCGGGTCATGTGATTGCAAAGACATTGGGATCACATGGCTGGAACGGCATTTCTTAAAAACTGCCTGCAGGGGGACTGCCTGGGTTGTCAGGCAGTCCCCCAAAGATAAAATAACAGGGGAAATAATAAAAAAAAAAAATATTTATATCTATCACAACAAAGATGGGAGCACTCCCTGGATTTTCCCCTTATAAAGTAAACTGTCTTCAAATTCGCAAAGATTAACATTTCGACTAACAGGTCTTCATAAATTAGATTTTAGTGACTAGAGTATCTGCAATACGGGCACTGTGACATATGTATGTATGAATAAAGACACCGCTTGATTTGTAAGGGGAACAATTGGTAAAATTAGGTGAGGGAAGGAATACAGGGGAGAACAGAGAAACAGGTTAACTGAGAACCCATATAGGATAAAATGTACAGCTCTCAACATAAGAGCAAATCTGCTTGGGCTCCTCTAAGTCTTGTATTTTGAGGTTTCAGGAGTCAATAGTGGTGTCCAATTGATCTGCACCATGTTGCATCTGTTCTGCATTGCCACGGTGCTTGGAAGTTGAGCCTCTTGCTAAAAAGGACACCCAGTCCACTTTTTCTGTCCTTGTTCTCGCACTCTGGGTCATATTGGACCTGGAACTATCGACACAAACGCAGAGTCCATGACAAAAACACTCTTCAGAGTGCAGTTCTCAGATGAATTGCTCATTCGGATGTAGCTCATTCGGATCACGCCCATGCAACTTTGCCGTTTAACCACACCCTATGGATTATTATTTTTGTGTGTCATATTCGTCTACATACCTATGCAAGCCTAGATCATCTCCTGCTTTTTGTATTTAATTATATATAGACAAAGACAATAAAAAATAAATCTATTAATGGCCTCAATTTAATATTTTTGGAGCCACTATTTAAAAATTATTTAATATTTTGAAAACTATTTTAATGTTTATTTTTATATATTCATTTCTATATATATATATTTTAATATATTTTTTAATATTGTAATATTTAAAAAAATAATATTAAAATGTATCTTAAAATATTTAATCAAGGCCTAGAATATAAATCACTCAAGAAATTATTAAGACTTGGCATACGGGAAATTATACATTTGTAAACTTTATACTGTCATATTTTTTTATTTTTTTTTTGGTTTACCAGTGACTAATCTGTATTCCTGTCATGCATTCAAACACACCATCTCCTTTCCTGCATGTATAATTCACTGTGTGTGAAATAATTTACTCACAAAGCTCTGTTTTCCCAGGATATCGAAGATAGTGTAATTTCAGGTTATTAAGACACTCTAGTTGTAAAAGCCAATCTATAATGATATAGTCTGCATGGTGTTTATTTCACAGAACAAATTGTAGCATCATAACTTTATTAAAAATGTCAATCACATTTTATAGCTTCGCTTCGAGGTGACATAAAGACAGATTTGCTTGTTGTTGGCTTGTATTATCATGAACTTACTTTTTCTCTTTAATAGATACTGAATATCATTTTCAAAGGTCGATTCATTTATAACCACTAATAAGGTAACAACAGACAGATCACTTATAAGGTGAGTTTATTTACATTAAATCCACTTGAGGAAATGCAATTGTCTCCATCTAGTGTTATTTTGACATAAGTGATGTAAAAACAATTTATATTTTGCAATAAGTCTACTAAGCTCAAAAGTTTTAGAGACAATATACTAAAGATTATTTCCAATGTACATCCAAATGAACTTGAAGCCTGTCAAGGTAAGTATAACAACCACCGCGCAGTGCTTAAACTAAATGTATCCATGAGTATAACCAATGATAGCAGCATATTACCTGTCCTTGGCAGGGCTGCCTTTCATGCAATGCCT